CCACCCATTTTAGAATTCAAACTTGAGATCTCTAAAGTGGAGACTCAGATTCTTGATCATTGGTGCATCCCTAAGAGAGTGGTCTTTGTTGTTCATATCTAAGTTGTAAAGTCAAGGTCTTTCCTCTTTGCTGTCCACATGTATTGTAAGACTCATCTTTAATCAATAGTTATAAAATATGTAACGTCGGTATTTTTTGTTACAATGAAATGTAAGAATATTCGTAGTCAAAATAATAAATTGTTAGAACAATTTATGGTAGTTCGTTTATTGTAGTCCCAAACCAAAAGGAAAATAAAATTTTATTTAATTTATAGTTTAACTACGGATTAGCTATTAGCACAACCACACAAGCCCTAGAATATTCGTTTCTTCATCTTTATGCATGCTCATGAGTGAGGTTTTAGAGGTTCCGAAAAGGCACAAGTTAAGAGCCAACAAATTGGGTATATTTTCTTAAATTTAACAGTATTTTAATAAATGCTCTTATTTATTTCAAAATAATTATCATTTTTGACTAAAAATGTATCCCAAAGTAATTGTCATCAATTTCATTTTATAAGGTAGACAAATATTTTTTTTTTCTAACCCTATCATTCTCTTAACTTTAATTATTTATTACATTGGTAAAATAAATAAAAATATTATAAATGGTTTTCAAATTCTTAAATTAAAGAAAAAGTTAAAAACAAAGTTATTATGGAACAAGAGAAATAACAACTAACAACGACTTTTTTTTTGTTTTATTTGTCCCACTTTGGACCTGCACACTTAGAAATAATTGAGGGGAAAACAAAAATACAAAAATTATTGTTTGAAACGCCATATTTCTCCTTAATAAAAGCATTTTCTCTTTATCAATACGTTAGAATAATAGAAGGCCAAAAAAATATGTTAAAAAAATAGGTGCAAAACTTATTAACATTAACTACTAAAATTATATTGCTAATAACGACTAATTAAATAAAAATATTACTACTTATTTAATGAAATTCTAATGACTAATTAGCTACTTCTTCCCTTTTTTTTGGTTCTAGACCAATTATTGAAATGCTAGCAAGTGCTGGGTAGGATTGGTGATGGTCTTGTCTGTTCCATTTTCCCTTGCTGACAGTCCTGTAATTTAAACCAGATTACATTAATGAAATTTGTTTCCCATAAAAAATAAAATAAAATATTATTACTTGAAATGCAAATATATTTCCTAATATATAAGAAAAACTATTTATTAGTATAATAACTAAAAATTAAATCCAGTCTTATCCAAAATGTGAGTAATTATGAGTAATGGTAAAAAAAAAAATTGGGACTAACAAGAAATAATTACAGATCATATATTACAAGTGAATTATTTTTCAATTCATAAGGATCGAATTGCAAGTAGGATTGAAGTATTACAAGCCATAAATTGTAAGGGCTTTTAATTCATGGATTAATGGATCAATGAAGGAGATAACGTGATACCCACTTTTTAATGTTTTGAAGTTATTATTTATGACGAATTAATAAAAATTTTATATTTTCTTTTGAGAAAAATAAAATTCAGGACATCTCAGCACTTTAAATGCCAAGATCTTTTATCAAATTATTTTTTGTATCCTTAATGAGTCTTTTTCGCATGTTAATTCATCAAAGGTATATTAATCTTTTCATTACCATTCTTGGCATTTGAAGTACTAAAATGTCTTAATTTTTCTCAATCCCTTTTCTTTTTATTCATTTTCCAAATGAAATGAAGGAAAACAAAGAAAAAGGGAAATATTTGTTGTGAAACTGCCAAGAAGAAATAGAAGCCCACCAAATTTGAATAAACGTGTGGGGCCAATTTATGACAAATCATGAAGTCATGGAGTAGTTGTTTACTCGTATATAAAGGCTTAAGGCACATTTGTGTTTATGGCACAAAAACAGCACAATTAGCACTCTTTGCTTGATCTTAGTATATGCGCTCTCGCTCTTTATTTTGATGGATTCGAAATGGTTGTACGTGGTACTTACACTCTTCTTATTAGAAGGGATGTGGTGCCAAGGGTGTTTGGAGCAAGAGAGAATTGCTCTACTACAACTCAAGTCTTTCTTCAAAGATCCTTGGGTTTTGAGAAATTGGGGGAGAGGAAAGGAAAATTCAGATTGTTGTCAATGGGAAAGGGTTGAGTGCAACCCCTCCAGTGGACGAGTTATCAAACTCGATCTTGATCACCTGTATCATTGGCATAACTCATATCTTAATGCCTCTTTGTTTCTCCCATTTGAGGAATTGAAGAACCTCAGTTTGGCTTACAATGGAATAAATGGTTTCATTGAAAATGAAGGTTTTTATCTATTGACACACCTTCCAACTTAATTATGTGGTTATCAAAACATATTTGAATATACATATAAGTAAATTCGTTTCATTCTTATTCTCCTATATATTATTTATTTGTTTTTTTCTTTTTAATTGAAGCAAATTGAACAATTCCTCTGATATGTTTGCAGATTTCCATAGGCTTTCAAAGTTGAGCAATTTGGAATTCCTTGACTTGAGTTGGAATGACTTCAATAGCAAAATTTTGTCATCTTTGAGTGAGCTTTCATCTCTCAAGTCTCTAAATCTTGCAGGCAACTACTTTCAAGTGTCAAACCATACTAATGGTACAATTTGATGAATTTCTGCTCATCTTTGGCTTATGGGAACCCATTTCCTTATTGTTTCCTCTTGCAATTTAAATTTTTTTACTTTGAAAGTTCAATCTATAATTAACTTGTATAAATTGCAACAAATTGTATTGCAGGTTTTAAAAGGCTTTCTAAGTTGAGGAGTTTGGAAATCCTTGATCTTAGTGACAATTACTTGAATAATAGTATCTTAACATCTTTGAGTGATCTTCTATCTCTTAAATCTCTCAACCTAGCCAGCTGCAACTTAATGATAGCATCAAATCACATGGAGGGTAAGATTTTAACTTATTGTTGTTATAAGTTTACCAAATTTGATGCAATATTGATTATTTTAATTAAAGACATTATCTTTGATTTGTTAACTTATAGCAGCTAATTTTGAAAGCCTGTCAAGACGCAGCCACTTGGAATTTCTTGACTTAAGTTCCAATATAGATTTGAACAATAGCGTACTACCATATCTGAGTAGTCTTCTATCTTTGAAAACTCTTATCCTGCGGGATTGTGGACTAAACGGGACTTTGAGCACTAGAGGTAATTCAATTTGCTTTCTTCTCGTTTTCATTTCTATTATAATTTTCTCTTAACAAGATGTGTTGTATTGTAATATTTTATTGAAATTAAAAATAGTTTTCCTTCTTTTGTTTTGATGGTGAACTTGAACAGAACTCAACCAATTCATCTTTGGTGTATGGGAAACCATTTCCTTTTTGTTCCTCTTGCAATTTATATTTCTTTTATTCTCAAAATTGAACCCATAACTAACTTGTATGAGTTGCAAAAAATTATATTGCAGGTTTCATGAGGTTTTCTAATTTGAGAAATTTGAAAATCCTTGATCTTAGTAGCAATGACTTAGATATTAATATCTTAACATCTTTGGGTGAGCTTCCATCTCTCAAGTCTTTGAGGTTGATAGGCTGCAACTTAATGATAGCATCAAACCATAGAGACGGTAAAAATTTAACAAATTTTATTATATGTTTATTAGAGATGATATAATATTGATCATTTTAAATAAAAAGTTTATGTTCTGAAATTTTAATTTGTAGGAGCTGATTTTGAAAAGCTGTCAAGATTTCGCCATCTGGAATTTCTCGACTTAAGTGATAATAAGGACTTGAACAACAGCATTCTATCATATTTAAGTAGTTTTTCATCTCTAAAAACTCTAATCTTGTCCTCTTGTGGACTTAATGGAACTTTGAGTACAAGAGGTAATTAAGCTTGCTTTCACCCGTTTTCATTTTTATTATATCTTTTTCCTTAAAAAGTTGTGTTATCCTGTAATTTTTTATTGGAATTAAACATATTTTTCATTCTTTTATTTTAATGATGAGCTTAAACAGAATTGAGTAATCTGAGAAATTTAAAGGTGTTAGACATAAGCTGGAATGACATTGAAAGCCTCGAATCTTCCCAAGGTACGTATATTTAATTTGTTTCCTAAGTTAATATTTAATGTTAACAAATTTGATTGTAATGAGATCATATATTTTTGGCAAATGAACAAAATTTGAGGTTTGTCCATCTAGAGGTCCTTGATTTGAGTTATAATTTCTTCAACAATAGTGTGCTATCTTCCGTCAATGAATTTTCAAATCTAAAATCCCTGAATATAGAAGTTAATAATCTAAAAGGATTAGTAGATGTCACAAGTAAGTTGAGGCATACTTTAATCTTTTCTTCTTTCTTGCTAAAACGTTGAAAGCAGTTTATTTGTTACTTATGTGTGATCTAATAACCTTTTTTGTGGTTCTCCTAAAATTTGATGCTTTAAGATGCTTAGGAGAGCTACAAATGAGCTACAACGAACTCAACCAATTCATTTCCACTAATGGATCAATGAAATGATATTGTGACTCTATGTTTGTTTTATTTTTTGTTTTGATAGAGACATATCTTTCAACTAATTATATGTTTTGTTCAAAACTCTTCAACATGATCTTCATTTTCTTTTTATCATCCACAGCAAATACAAGCTTTAGCAAGTTAGAAACTCTTTATCTTGATGGAATATCACCCAAGGAAAGCAATGTGCCAGCACAGTTATCACTAGAAGCATTCCCATCACTTAAGAGACTTTATTTGGCATATAACGATCATCTAAACCAAACCATTTTTATTCAAAGTAAGTATTACATAGATGGCATTCTACAATATTATTGCTTGTGTTTTTTATATTAATTTCTATACGCTCATAATTTTTTTTTAGTAAACACATATTCACAACTACTATGATAACCATTTTGCAGCTTCGCAAGTTTTGAGCAATCTAGAGGAACTTTTCTTGGATCAGTCCCCTCTTAGCATAAACTTTCTGCAAAATATTGGTGCATTGACCTCTCTCAGGTCAATATCTCTAAGAGATTGTGGATTCACAGGAACCTTACCAACTCAAGGTTGGTGTGATTTGAAGAATCTTGAAGAGATGGATCTTTCTGGAAATGAATTGGTAGGGATACTACCTTCTTGATTGGCTAACTTGACATCTCTTCGACTTTTGGATATCTCCCAAAATCTATTCACTGGAAATGTTGCGTCTTCTCCCCTAATTAATCTTATTTTGCTCCGATATCTCTCAATTTCTACTAATAAATTTCAAGTTCCAAATTCCTTCAAGTCATTTGCAAACCATTCCAACCTTAAAGTCTTCTTCAGTGATTTCAATCAATTGGTTCCAGAACATGATCATGTTCAAACAAGGGTTCCCAAGTTCCAGCCAAGAGTCCTTAGTTTGTCAAACTGTAGGGCAAATGAGGAACTCACTAAACCTCCTAGCCTTCTCTATTACCTATATGACTTGAGATATGTTGATCTTTCATTTGACCAATTTATGGGAGCCTTACCTTATTGGTTGTTTGAAAATAATACAAGATTACAAGTTGCTGTTATGAAGAACAATTCTTTCATGGGTTCTTTCCACTTGCCATCACGACCTAATCTTGATGTTCAGGAAATAGATATTTCGAATAACCAAGTACAAGGTGAAATCCCATTAAATATCAGTATGATTTTTCCATATTTAACAGGGTTAATCTTGTCTGGAAATGGCTTTGGTGTAAGATTTTCCAAGTGGTTGGTTGGTATGAACTCTTTAGAATTTTTAGACTTGTCTAGCAACCAATTCTCTGGAACATTACCAAAAGAGTTTGTTATAGGAAAATCATTAAATTATCTTAGACTTTCAAACAACAACTTGATTGGGAAAATACCTCCTAGTGTATTTAAGCTTCAATCGTTGGATGCATTGTATCTGGATAGAAACAATTTTGAAGGAGAGATATCCAATGTCCACTTTTCTAGGTCTTCATATCTAAACATATTGGACATTAGCAACAACAATTTGTCAGGAAAGCTTCCAAGATGGACAAAGAATCTCCTTGGTTTGACTGAATTGGATTTATCCAACAATCACTTTGATGGTTCAATTCCAGAGGAATTTTGCTATAATGCTAACCTTAAGCTTCTTGACCTATCTCACAACAATTTATCTGGGTCTCTACCACATTGCTCTAGTCCGTTCTCACCATACTTATCACGTATCTATTTGAGAAAAAATAGACTAAATGGTCTACTAACAGATTCATTCTTGAACATCTCTTTATTGAAGATACTAGATCTTGGAGAAAACAACCTTTCTGGAAGCATTCCAAAATGGATCAGCAACCTTTCTTCCTTGAGTGTCTTGCGTCTAAAAGGTAATCTTTTTTTTGGTGAAATTCCGAATGAAATATGTGAGTTGGACCAACTACAAATCATGGATTTGTCTCATAATCAACTTTCTAGTCATATACCTTCTTTTTTGGGACATTTAATTGGTGCTTCAAATTCATTTTCACCATGGAGTGCTATTGAGGAATTTTCAACATTGTACTTTGACACATCCACAGAAATGCAAACTAGATTAATGGAAGAGGTATATACACAATTGGATAGGTATATACAAGATCGGATAGAACTTGTTACCAAGTGGTGGTCTTACACTTATGAAGGCAACATTCTTGGTTACATGTCTGAAATTGATCTCTCTTGCAACCAATTAACAGGCTTAATCCCACTTGCAATGGGAAACTTAAGTGACATTCATTCACTTAACTTGTCCCACAACAACTTAACTGGACCCATACCTTCTACCTTCTCAAAATTGAAACAACTTGAGAGCTTGGACCTTTCTTTCAATGATTTGAATGGTGAGATTCCATCTCAACTTACTGAGCTAAACTCTTTGGCAGTTTTTAGTGTTGCACACAACAATCTCTTAGGTCCTATCCCATATGGAAAAGGACAATTTGGAACCTTTGACAACAACAGTTACGAGGGAAACCCGCTTCTTTGTGGACCTCCATTGGAAAAAAGTTGCAAGGAAACTAATGCACAACCAAAGGTACCCAATTCCTCAAATGAAAAAAGAGAAGGCAGTTTGATAGATATGGATGTTTTCTATACAAGCTTTTCAGTTACTTATTTGGTTGTTTTGTTATCAATTGGAGCAGTCCTATACATAAATCCATATTGGCGACGGGCATGGTTTTATTTGATTGAGAGGTGTGTCACCAATTGCTACTATTTAATCTTGGATAATATTCTAAGATTCTAGTATTGTAATAATGTAACTAATTTATGTCTGTTAGGATGTACTTTCATCCATGCCAAGTTTTAATAATGCAATTCAATTTTCATGAATTAGTATTACTTAATTTACTTTTCATTGATTCCTACTTCGCACTATTTTTTAATTAAATTGTGTGTTCCATCTCTTTGGACTACTCTAGTTGATCAGGTAGGCAGTTATGACTAATTTAGATAGAGACCATTATTCTAGACTATTTAAACTTAGTTGTGAACGGTAAGTCAGGAAGGATTATTTTGCAGTGGACAGATTGAAGCAAGCGTTTTTGAACAGAGTAATTCAATTACTAAAAGGAATCCTGATAGTAATAGCTTTTTGCCCATATTGATTGCTAGAGTTCCAATTTAATTGAGTCAAAGGAATATATGTAAAAGCATACATGTTATGTCGTAGTTTTAGATATTGGAGTTCTAGGTTAAGTGCTGCATTTACTTTTTTTCTTTTGTTTAGAGACTGATTTGCATAATGAGGTTGGTTTTTTTTTTTTTTTTGGAGGTTTTGAGAGAATGGTCAAGGTAGATTAGAAGCTTTTTGTGTCATGTACACGAGGTGTTTGATAAATTGCTTGTATGGGATGGGGTTATGTTGTTTTTTCTGTTATGGTGAGTTAGTTCATTGTTATCTTGCGTCTTATCTTGAAAGTTGCATTAGGAGCTGGGTTAGGATTCCTTTTAATTTGTGTAATGACATATTAAGTGTTTTTTTGTATAATATAAATTATGCATAAAGACACTTAATATATGAAATTCCCTAATTTATATAAAAAATTAAATCTACTTATTACTAATACTGTACAAATCAAATCGGTCTATCTCTGGCTTACATTCAACTCTTGGTATATATATTATTAGAAGTTATTGTATAAAATTTCCTTAGGTCTCAATTATGCTCTATATATTAATTTTATTGATAATCAAGCATTAAAAAGCGTTCAGAATAATAATATATAATTTTCATGAAATAGCAATCATAAAAGTATAAAAATACAAAACTCTATGTCAAATTGATTAAATTACAAAGATGTCTGGTATCTTGTTTGATGCTTGGAGACCTTAATGACCAAAAATCAAACCTCCAAGAGAGAATGAAATGGTTTGGGTCATGAATTATCCTTGTTTTCAACATAGATGCAAAAGAAAAGGAAAATGAAAAATAAAACAATGAGAAAATAAAGTTGGTTAAGATATAGTTAGTGAAAACAAAGACCCCACTCAAGAAATAGCAACTAAATCCTATGTAACAACTTTATGGATCATATGTTTAATTCCAAAAGAAAAGGAAAATGAAAAAAAAAAAAAAACAATAAGAAAATAAGGACTCCAACGATATTTCCTAAAATCCGGCGAAGTAGCTTGACTCCGGCCGGATCCGTGCCTAATTTCTAGATTCCGGTCACCTCAAAAAAAATTTAAAAAAGGAACTCTAAAATTATAACTATATATTATATAACATGTATATATTGATTTAAATTTTTTAACTACATTTTTACATGGGAGCTAAAATTGATGTCATCGCGCTTCTTAGGCCTTGACTCTGTTTCCTACCAAAAAGCAAACCAGGCTCCAGTCACAGCCACCAGGAATATTATTAAAGCCACCAACATGCTATCACTATTTCAACTTTGCCCTCATCACTTTCATGTGTTTTTCCAGTTTAATTGTGTGAGCAGAGAAGTAATTTAACAAAACAAGAGTAGAATATTAGTCACCTTAACAATATCACGGGTGACCATAACCGAAGCTGAAGAAAAAGTCCTAGTGTCTCACAAGTAAACTGATATTTCGCCAAGTAGTGAGCCAACGTTCCTATATATACCAAAAAGAGTAAAAATGGTTTTAGTGCCTCTAGATGGGGATTTCCATAACTAGTGAGGCAGACTTGTTACATTGCACAACTTGGCCAAGATCTGTCTTGCAGCAGATTCCCTTGCTTCTTGGGTCGTCGAACGCGCATCTCCCTCACTTGTTAACTGAAAATCCATCTCTTTTAGAGTTATGCTAGCCTGAAATCCACCTTCAAAAATTGAAAAGAGACTAATTAGTTCTTAGAGATCAATGCCAGTCCATTCCAAACATTAGAGTTGTGGAAACATTGCTCAAACATTAGGTAGAGTAGAACATGGTTCATATGTTCATCATCTCATCGAAAGTCACCATGATCAACCATCAACTCAAAGATCCAGACAGGAGTTTTACAAATCCATTAGACTAGAAAGTGAACAATGTCATTGTAAGAAATTAGATATGACGAGCAAAAATTTCGAATGTAAAACAAAAATGAATCTTTCTGCCCAACCTCGTAAGACAGAAGATATGAGCAGTTATACGGCATGGATCTAGTAGTATAACATTATTTATATAACAGATGGAACAACTCCTGATACACGATAAGTTGGCAGTCTCCAATTGTTCTTATAGCACATATCATCCAACTCCTGTCGAAACAATTAAATACAGCTGTTACGCGCAACCCAGGGAAAAAGCCTAAAATCTCAAATCTGGAATTCAACAATAGTCTAAGAAGAAAGAAACCATCGGACAATGTAGGGAGTACACTTTTAAAACTCCATAAACATATGGTGAAAACAAGTATAAATTTGAAGGTCAAACTTGCCCAGCATGGACTTGGCATTTCCACAACTTCCTCTGATAAAGGTCCCCTGTTGATGTTATCACAGCCTTCTACAATGGAATCTATCTTTAATTCCAGATCATCATCGCTGCCTACAGAGAACAAATTGAAATATGCGTGTTTTAAGTTATTTGAAATTTAATCCAATGAAGAGTGCAATGGGTTATTTCAGTCGCAGCCTCTAAAATGAACCTGCTGTGGATGATGATTGACCCGTAATTTGCTCTCTAGAGCAATTAAGAGCCTTACATAACACTCAAGTTTTATGGTTAATTTTTATTTTCTATAAATCATTAAATTACAGACCAGGATGCAAATGCCCAGAAAGGGCAATACTTCCGTCATTCATAATATAAAAGTTATTTTTCTTGATGATATTGACTAGTTTACCAATTGAAACCAGTGTAATAGCTCACAATATCAAATAAGCAACCCAGATTTCAATGAGGGAAGATGTGGATGATGAGAATAGAATTTAATTACTTTTAGAAATCTACCTGAGCACAATCATCTTTTAACCAGCATAACCTCTTTACTACAGCATCTATGCATTTTATAAAATTTCAGTTCCTTTAACTTGCTGGCTACAGGTCTTAAAAAATTTCTGACAAAAAGCACAGAATATGACAGTTCAAGCAAATATAGTGATATCTTTTACTGCAAAGAAAATTACCTAGAACATAGTGCAGGCTGAACACGTACTAAACTGGAACCTCCAATTTTACTTGATATGCTCTTCCTTTTCTATTCCTTTATAAACAGAGCCACTGTTCAGGAGACTCAAGTTTGCAATTTTATGATAATTATTACATACTAAGACCAATTTTAGTGATTTTTAATTGGTAGTCTGCCATTTCCAACTATTAATGAAGTAACGCTAGAAAGGAAAAAAAGTATAGGATAGTTGTATCATTAAGGAGATGAATAACAGAAAAGAAAACTGTGAAAACATACCACTCATAATTGTCTGGATCTTTTTATCATACTGAGCAATCTTATCCTCTATGAGACGTTGGTTAAGAACCTGAGGATGAACAACATGCTTTATGTAAAATTTAAAAGTATCTTCACAAGAAAGGAAGATGCAAAAGAACACAATGAACCAACAGTGAATATGAAATAGAAGAGCAAGAATAATCAAAACAACGAGATTCACTAACTGATAAAATCTGTGTGGTAAAATCAACCAACTGGAATATCCACAGTTCACAGTTTTCATTCAAAATAGCGAAATTCACTTCAAAAATTCACACAATCATTATATCAATCTCATCAACATAAACCTGAAGTTGTAATCAACTCCATATTAATTCTGAATCCAGTTATCTTTGTGTTTGCCAAGTCAAAGGAGGCACACATCTTGGGAATTGTTTCAACAAAGTAAAAGAAAAAAAAAAAAATCTAACCAGTTCATCTCTTTTACTATGTAGAACTCTCAAAGCAGTTTTTGACAAGATGTTTTCCTTTGAGGCTATGGTCTTCTGTATTTTGGCAGAATTAGAATCCTTAGAATCAGATCGGTTAACACTTCAAGAATCCTTACCAACAGGCATAAGATGTTGAATGGAAAACACATTGCCAGGAGCCACTTCTCCATTGGTACCATCTTTGCCTCTGCAACCAGGAGTGCATGGAGTAGTCAATTCCACCACAACAGCCTGCATCCAGCAACAGGCTCATAGATAAATATGTCATTAAATAACAGAATGATAAAAGGAGCACTAAAAAGCTAGTCATTTAGCTCCATTTCAATCATATATAATCAAAAATATTACAGGGGGGATATGTGTCTATTTTTATGTTATTCAAGCCCCCCACATCAAATCAACTTGGACACAAATTAAACACTTTAAAAAGATGCAGGTATGACCTTATGTTTCCTTAATCCAATTAAAAATTGAATATCTGCATGTCAGATGTGCATTGTATACTTCTTTTTGAGAGGTGGGGAAAATTACCTCAATCCAGTAAAAAATTCAATGTTATAACCATGATTCTGTTAGGTGAGTGCCTTCATATTTTAGCATACAATTTTGGCTAGTTCATAGCTTCAATAGGATTTACTATTACTGGTGTTCAGGTGAATTACCAAAACCACTATGAGGTTTTTTGTGAGATACACTTTCTCAGTTCAAAAAACGCACTGGTCTCCATAAAGTGTTACTCTTTACAGTAACATACCCCCAAACGAACTACATCATCCCTTGGGCATATTGCCTTGTCAGATGACAAGCACAATATTTAGAAATTGGGTTCCAATGTACTTAATCCAAACAAACCTTGGATATTTTTTCTCCCTGTTAAGTTTTAATTCACCCATAATACTATTTCTTGTTTTAAGCTGTATTGCCACTTGTTGTAAAAGCTTAAGCTAGCCTAATATGCAAGGCCTAAGCATTATATAGATCTAATATACATCCTTATTTGCAAGGACTGGGTTAACCCACAAGCCTGTTAGCCTTTGCAAGCACTTGAAGCATATGACGTTACTTATATAAGTGCTTAACTTCAATATTAACATATAAAGATTCTACAGATCCAAACCTTGAGACTTTTAAGTCAAGTGGTCAGTGGTTATAATAGGCTGGTAGCTTTATTTATAAAATCCAAAACCATCAACTGCTAAATAAATTAACCATGTATGCAAGTCAAAGATATCTAAAATAAATGACACTGAGCTTGCAAAGAACTCAAAGAAAACAACATGCCAGATACTTCAAGAAATTTTGCACCAAAAGCTGCACCTAGTGCAGGTACTGAAGTTAGTATTATGGCGGGTTGTTGCTCCCTGACCTTGGTCTCTACCTTAAACAAAAATGCAATGGATTTATCTTTGCTCAATAATCAGCTAAAAAACAAATATTTCCTAATTAAGGGTAAAATGTAAAATCACATTCATGAGAGAACATAGATATCAGTAGCACTACCACTACATTTCTGAAAAACACCCCAGACAAGAAAACAGAATTTTATACGGTTAAGATGTTTTAGCTTAGCTAAATGACTTGCAAGCCAATAGCAATATTTCACATGGCAAAACCGAATGTTAGAAAGAATTCACTCTACACTAAATGTTTAAAATTTATTGCTTGTGAAAAGATGGCAAGTAAAGCTAAAATGTGAAAAAGTTCAAGAACAGCTTTATAAAATCCATATAACTTTTGCAGTTTAAAGAATATAGATGATGATAATATGTTGAGAAATTTCACAAACCTTAAGAAAAATTCTCTGATCACCTGCACATAAGGTAGCACATGGAAATATTCAACAACTAAAGTAGTAATCCATTGGTCAGAACTCTTTCTGATAAAAAGACCCTGCAGTCTACAAAGGAAACACAGATACATCAAAGTTCTTTTGGCTTTGCTTTCTGGTGGGTGAAAATAATTTTAAGTATATTAGCACAACAATCACTATTAAAAAGAAGAGAACCAAATACATAATCCTAGATTTAACTATATAGAACACAAACAGTCCTTGGAGACGGAGAATACTAATAGAATGATCTCATATGACAAGAAAGCATACAGCATTATGATGCCTCATGTCATTAAGTACCATAGAATCGATGCAAATTTACCCCTGCATGTCAAATGGAAAAGTTATCATGTCACCTTTAGAACATTGACCTACAATACAGTAATTTTAATAATTTCTAGCCTTTCAACCAGATGTCAGTACATCCAATTATGTGAAGTATCATCAATGCCAGACATGCTGTTTCCATACCCTAAAAAAAAGCCAGGAGGCCTTTCACATATTTACTCTTGGAACATAACAATGTCAACAAAAATTTTGTTTAATGGTCACTTATAAAAAATCCCTCATCCACATATAAGTCTAGCATTGTTTGTGCATGGTTTAATAAGATAGGGAAAATAGGGAAAACAGGATAAACAGATTATTCTATGTGTTGACGTGACAAAATGGATGGAGTCGCCATCTATTCAAATGAGGTGGGATAGATCACCAAGGTCTACGTAAAAATTGATTAGGTTCAAAGGGTCGGTTAAGCATGGGGAAGGTGTTAAGCACCCCACAACTTCCATATAATATGGTTATCATACACTTTGATTTTGGGGACTCTTCAATTTTATATCACAATAATAATTAAAAATAAAATAAAATAAAATAATAATAACAAACAAAAAAAACTTCCAAAAAAAACAAAGAATCTGTCCTCATTTCATTTTTTTTTTTGTTT